AGGAGTTACTGACAAAAAAGTAACGATTCCTAGATACTGCTGACCATTCGGCAGTATTGATGCGATGTATGCACGACGAAGGCACCCCACACGTGTCCTGGATATATTGTTTGAAGCGGTTGGCCATACTGCCTGCATTTTCAAGCATAGGAACAACCCGATGAGCCAAACCCATTTCCTGGAGCGCATACATGACAATGTAGACAACGTGGTAGTGAACACTTCGAGTGCCTGTAATGCCAAGTTTGCCACCACCCCTTCCAATCTTGGTGTTGTCCTGACATGGCGAGCCCGCACCAAATATAATGAGCGCGTCTTCTGGCAGCAGGGCTAGGAATTCCCTCAACGCGGCAACATGATGGTGCACAATTCCCCAAACATCCGCAAGGTAGCGGACAGGCATCCTATGGTTGGCGTACGTCCAGATGGCAGGATCAAGATGGTACCCCTGTACGGCCGAAATCACAGTTCTGATACTGGAATCAAGTTCAGCAATGAGCATAGCACATGGAGGTCCCAACTCTTCTGCAAGAGTGTTCGCAAAGCTGCCACTCCCATCAAAGAAACTGATGATGCCATGTGGGCGGGTAGGACCGCGCACCACGTGTCTGAGGCGCAGTTTCCGTCGGGATTGCAGGCACTCTAGGCCACCACGTGTCTGAGGCGCAGTTTCCGTCGGGATTGCAGGCACTCTAGGCCAATAGTATCAGCGTTGCAGAGCAGAACGGCCGTAATGAAAGGTAAGAGATGTGTGATTTCCTCACTCAGCAGTCGCACACCTCCCCTGTTGGGGTGGTAAGCATGACCAAATTGGCCATCAAAGTGTTCAACCAGTCCGGAGACCCCTGTGCCAGCTCGGCACTCCTAAGTGCCCGCTCGGCACTGAAAAAAAAAGAGGCCCGAGCGCTTTTTCCTCCAGCGGGTTGAGTTCGCAAAAAACCGTGGGTTTTTGCACCTTGACCCGCCGATCCCCGCAGAGGGTCGCGCGAGCAGGTTAGAAATCGCAAAAAACCTGGGTTTTTGCACCTCGACCACTGTCCTGCGAGGGATCGAGCACGACGGTTCAGCGTGCCGGGGTGGCCAGAGGTCCACTCGGGGGCAAGCCGAAGGCTCACTGTGATTTGTTTTGCACGAGGGGCTGATAGTGTGCGCCCCGCGCCACCCATTGGCCGAGCTCACACCACGTGATCCACCGGCGACGTCAGGAGCTGGCATCGGGCGCACCTCCGCGCTCGCCTTGCAGGATGAGATTTGCAGGTTTGACCCGAGAGGCTGAGCCCAGGCTGGCACATCAGCAAGGCGTACGGCTACGTCTACCTTGTGGACTTGGCGGAGTTTCGCAGCCATGGCTTGGCGACCACACTTGGCGGTAGCAGAGTCATCAAGTCTTGATGGGAGAGAATAAAGCGGGCACTTAGGTAACGTGCCGAGCGGGCACTCGTGAGTAGGAGTGCCGAGCGGGCACTTAGGAGTGCCCGAGCGGGCACAGTGCCGAGCTGGCACTTTAGGTTAGCAGTGCCAAGCGGCCACGGTGCACGAGAATAGTACGGATTCACCAACGGCCCAACGGCCCTTAGTGCGAGTTCGCCCAACGGCGGAGCCCAAAACGGCGCTTTTGCCAGACAATAGCAACGTCACGCTATTCGCGGGTCTGAATCTTGGACGAGCGATTCGGTTAGCAAAGCAGCTGAGCACCAAGCAGAAAGCAGCTTATAACAGACCTATCAGGCAGCCCGGACAGAAATCAGAATGGCAGAAGCAAGGATCAGCCCATGCCCAACTTGCAGATTCAATGGCTGCTTGAAGTGCGATCCCAGCATGACCATGTCATATTGGCTTGGGAAAGAGGCTCGTAAGGCAAGCAAAGTGCCAAAGATCGAAGGGGTGGCCCTGTTTGAAAAGCAGAAGGAGAGTGTAGGGAATCTGACTGGAAATTGTGGAGCCAGCAAATTGGGGGTGTCATCCCACGAATTCGGGCTGTGGTGGTGGTGGTGGTGGTAGTTTTGCTCCTGGGCAAAGGCCTCAGGTCAATTGCAACTGGGGGTGGGGCTGGGGTGGGGGGCTGGAGGAGAAGATTTGAGGAGGGATTTTGCTTCTTTCCTTTTTGGGGGGGAGGAAAAAGCTCAGCTTTCTTTCGGGTATTTTACTTTTTTTGGGGGGGGCAGGCTTAGCTTTATTTGGGGGGTTTTATTTCTCACAGGTGGACCTCGTTTGCGTGCGTACCTTCTGGAAGGCTATCGGTTTCCTTTGCCGCACAGCAGCCAGGTCAAATAAATTTCGGCTTTGGAGCCGTTTTGGGCAGCTAAGGGAGTGCTCGATGTTTGGGGGTCTCCATACATGTACATTTATGGAGACCCCAAAAGTAAAAGTTTCAAAACCGGCGCCGTTTTTTTCATCGGACGGACTTCCTAGGCATGTGGGAAAACACGGCCGGAGGCTGTGCTGTGCACCTGGCCCTTTTATCCTGCGTCCTCTGGATTGCGGGGGCTAATTAGGGAATTTGTTTTGCCAGTCGCTCTCTAAAGCCTTCCGTTCAACGGAAAGCCAAGCTAAACTTCCACTTGACAGCCTTAACACAATTGTCAAAACCTGCCAAACAACGAACATAGACATCAGCGTTCAGTTCAGCGCACAAGCGCTCAGACAGCACTACGGCGCGAGTGAAGTAGAACATCTTCCACTTCTCTGGAAAAACAAGTCCAGCTCATCACTCCAAACCTTAAGCATGGTGGTTCGTCTTAATGTTTGACGCAGCAGAGTCGGCCACTGATGTAGCAAGGTGTACATGTCTGCACTGCCTCTGGCAACTGTACTCATCCGGTCTTCAAAGCCGCGGCTGGCCCATAAGATTTCTTTTGCTGCCGGCTTGGTTGCTGATCGCCAAATTGTGTTTGGTTTGTGAAAATGGATTTGTTACCGGAGTGCTGGTATGACTCAGTGGGAGCTTTGAAGCTGTTGGTTGGCGGCTCGAATCAAATTCACGTGACTTCACCAAGGAATAGGCTCAAATGAATAGTTCGTTTTATCTCGTCTCATAATGCTTCGCAGTGTGCTTACTTTCAGGACACAACGTCGTGAAGTCTTCAGTCGATCTCATCTCTGTCGACACAATTAGAATTTAGAACATTTCAAATTTGCTTGCAGCGGATGGTGCCTTCTGAAGGCATCGTCTCGAGTCCATGATCTGAATGTCTTGTCCGTTTTGTGCATTTTTTCTTGCTACGCAGTTGGAGGGAAACATCCTTCTTTCCTTTTCAATGTACCATGTTGCTGTCCATCGGTGCCTTGATTGTTGCCTGATGTGATTTCTAATTCTGCTCTGGTGTTCGATCACCATTGATCTGATCTGTGCATATGTTGTGATGTTTTCTGCTTGCTGTAGTGGTGTTTTGTCTCATTGAGCAGTATTGCAATCTACTACTGCGCCTGGTAGTAGTGTGTTGTTGTCCTTGGAGTTGAAATTCCCATGTTGTAAAGCTCTTCGAACTTCTGTTCATCCAGGTGTGGTTTTAGCAGCCGAATAAGGTGCTCAATGCTTGTACCAAGAGGTAGGGAGTGCCTCGCATGTATCAGACGCCATGTTTCGAAACCGTTGCCTTGCATGTTTTGTCTGCAGATTGTAGATGCTGGTCCATTGCATGTGCTCGCCAAGAGGTAGTGTAGGTTGTGTTGCTCGCTTGTATCCTTTGTTCTGTTGTGAAGGCATTCTCAAGTTGGTCGCTTGTGTGGCAGTTGTTGCTGTTTGGCCGCCATGTTGCTCATTACTGTCTACCTGAACCCGTGGGTGTGTGTTGGAGCTCACCCTGGGTAGTGTGGGAGGATCATGTGCCAGGGATGACTGCTCCGATACTATGTTAAACTCAAAGTGACTGTGTAACCTAAGTGCCTGAAATTTACACCTGTGTGTGTCAGCACAGCACTTTTTGTGCTGTGGGCGAGGGCTCAAGGCCTTGATGTACAAAAGGGGCAATGCAATACAGCTCGACTTGTCTGGGGTTTGCCCTTGCTACGATAGAAGGCCCTGCCAGATTGCAAGGGGAACATTCGGCAAGCCTTTAATTTACCCCTGATATACCAGGCGTTTGCGGTTGAGTATGGCTGGTTTACTTGGCGCAGTGAGACAAACAAGCAGCAGGTTTCCATGACCGCGGCTCAGACTTGCGACAATGTGGAGCCAGTCTGGATTTTTTCGTGCACAAACACGCTGGGACCTGCGACTGTAAGCTGAGATTTTGGACGTGCGAACGAAATAGAACAGGCAGATGAGCGAACTTTGAAGAGACTCAAACCTTCTACGCATCTTTTTCCGGGGTGGTCAGACAATCAGAGCCACAGACCTGGTAAGAAGATTGCAGCTTTGTGCAAAATGTTGGGCTTGTTTTTTTCACTTTATGTTGATATCTTGGCGTACATTTTCCGTGATTTTGGATGACTCACATGGTGGTGGATTGAGCGATTTGGCTCAAACAAGGCAATTCTTTTCAGGCATTGAGCTCTACTTCAGGGATGCCAGCTCAACGCATGCGGGAACAGCTTCAAAAGGGTGTAATGCATGTGTGAGATGGCCAAGACACACCAGTTTTTCAATAGTGCTCGTGTCATCTATCCGACATATGATGATCACGTGAGCGTGGTGATCGGAACTCTGTTTGATCATGTCATGCGCTGGAGTTTGCTGCCTGCGGTGTTCGTCACGCTTGCTGCGGCAGACAACGTTTGGACCGAGCAGTCGTCGTGCTGAAGATGATGCAGCACAGTGGGGTGTTTGTTAAAATGGCAGACCCCCTTTTGGTTCGCCTTTAAAGGGATGCCAAAGGGACACCCATCATTTTAGCAGACCATCTGGGTAAAAGAAGATGTTGCGTGTTTTTCTCCATTTCTAGTTTTATTTTTTCATTTACCGACAGAAGGGTGATTGCGACATCTACTTACACTCTGCAAGCGCAATGATTCGTAATAATTTAATAGCCTAGGGCCGGTCTGATTTTGATCGTGGCCAGGAGCGAAGTGACGGCCACTGGTGGGCCAGCTGAACTGGAGTATCCCAGCGCGGTGTGGGATGAGGCCAACAAGAGGACAGGGTTGAACATGCTGGGTCCCTTAAAGGGAACTTTTTGCGGGTTCGCCAAAATACTTTGGGAGTTTCCCAGAAAAAAGATTCAGAAGACACAACACACAGAAAGGTCAGTGTAATGGACCCAACATCGTGCAATGGTTTGGTCAAGACTTATATCAGTATCTCACTTCGGCGAGCAGTTTTTCAGCTCGATGCTCACTTTGGGTTCTTAAGTGAATATATTCAAATCGACGTCGATGTTCGCTTTGGCTTGCTTGCTGCCAGTTTCCCGATTGGATTTGCCAGAGATGCTTGCTTTCCTCATTTTATACCTTATGCTACTCCAACCCCTCAAAGGGCAAAGGGATCCTCGAACACACATCCCCTACAACAACCCACGAAGACTTTACTGGACCACAGGCCTGACCGATGTGGGAGGCGTGTTGTTCTATGAGTTCCATGCACCTTGCGCCTCAGGATGCTGACCTTTGGCGGAGGTGACAACTCCGACGCTTTCCACGACAGCGTCTTCAGCCTTGAGGACTCCACGTGGACTGACATCTCCACCAGCGGCACAGGACTCCCGGCTAAGGCCAGAAATTGATGTCTCGAAAGGAGGGTTACCCCATTCTCGGCTTCTCCCCAATTCGAATCATGGAGAGTCCTGGCAGGTTCCGTTGCCCGTTGCCCTTCTTTCTCAGTTCGGGTTGTATTCACCCTTCTGCCAGGCACTCAGTTCTACGTCCCTTTTTGTTCGGTGGTGTACAACGAAAACAGGATCCCTTGAAGCACTGGATTGCATCCTTTGACTCTGTCCAGTAAAATTTGAAGTAAAGTGAATCGTCCAATTTACCCTCCAAATGGTGGGTTTATAGGAAACTCACTGGAGCCAGCAAGTTATTTTGAGGGGCCCCATCAACATACAACCACTTTGAGCAAAAAAAAGCTGATCTCCACTGGTTGAATCGCGTTTGGACACCTTCACCAAGGTTCCCAACCGCTTGTGGTGGGCCAAATGGCCGAGAAAAAACACCAAAAAAACACCAGCGGTGACCTAGGACCCGCGGGGCGGTACAGGCAGGCCATCGCCCTGGATGGCTCCAGGATGTTTGTCTTCGGAGGCCATGCGAGCGATGGAATCGCCGGGGAGTTTGGTGGCTGTTGGTCCAAAATGGGTACTCAAAATGGGTTGCCAACACGGACTAAAACCTGTGATCCCCTAGTTTTAATTTTGACCCACAGCCAGCCATGAATTTTGGATTGGCCGCCCTTTTCACTGGTGGCGATGCTTTTAAAGTGGTTGAGCACTCACCATGCCCATTTTTGCGCGTCGAAACTTCACGCCCGTAGTTGGGTCCAGGGAGGGCCACGCTCGAAGCTTCGCAAAAAGGGAGCCACAAGTCTCCAAGGTTCATCGGAGGACAGGCATAAGGACCTGTTTGCTCTTGCCACCTGGCGTGATTTCGGACCGTGCAGTGCACAAGATTTGCATGCCAGTTGCAGGTTGCAGGTTCTTTCATGGACAAATCTAAGGATTTGACCACCTACGCGTGGTCCTCGCTGGATGACGGCGACGAGCTTTTCGGGCATTCCATGCTATGGGATTCGCAGAACAGCCGATTGCTGGTCTTTGGAGGCCAGAAGGGCGCGAGCGAACAGTACCGGGACCAGCTTATGGAGTGGAAGTCTGCGGAGGAGCCTCGCTGTTCGCATTCAAAGGCGTTTGGGCCCAAAGTGTCATGTGTTGTTGGTCACCAGGAAATTTACGACATTGCAAGACAGTGGGCTTATATTGTTCTTACTGGATCACATGTAAACCAGAGAGATGGGACTGCAGCTGTGGTGCGCCTTTGTTGCCTTTCTGCAAAAATGCTGATGTCCCTTCGTTATTTTTGCAGGACAATTGGAGCGATCTTTCTCCAAGTGGCGATTCTCCCAGCAAGCGTTCATTCCACACGGCAGTGTGGAAAAGCTCCACAGAGATCCTTGGCCAAAGCTGCTCCTACCCCCAAACATTCCCTCAGTTTTGGCCCACCTTACTTCCAAGAGGATGTGTTTGAGGGGTGGCATGTTTGGGGGTGGTGTGATTGGTTGCGGGTCGATTTCCAGACCCTGGCTTTCTGCTGGTTGAGGGGCGGGTTTTGTTCCCCCACAACACGCGTATGATTTTGACCACGCCATTTGCCAATTTTCACGCTCGCAGCTGGAGCATTTGGCTGCTCGCATCAGATCAAATTGCAGAGTCTTGCAAGCCTCGGGCATTCTTGGATAAGTTAGCTGGGCTGTTGGAAGCTAAGGGTGGGTGAATCCTATTCCAGAATCCTTGTTGGCAAACTACTAGGGCATGCTTGTTTGCAGCCCAAGGGAAGGAGTAAGGGTTGACTTTGAACAGCTAAGGGTTGACTTTGAACAGCTACGACCCAAAGTCAAAATGCTATGGGTGGTGAATTGAAGGGAAACCACCGGATCTTGTTAGCCCTCACAACCGCACCACTTTTCGCCCAGTCTCGGCCTGGCCGAGGATGCTTGTCTTTGGCGGTCAAGGAGGTAGCACCACGTATTACAAGGCTCCGTGGCATGCGGAATGGATCGGTCAGGGTCAAAATCCTGAAACAAGCGCCCTCCCCCCTTGCAGGGCCCTTTCTTTTTTCTTGATTTGGGGATCTGGCCGACTGATTTGGAGATGTCCGGATTTTCACCGTCGTTTGATTCGAGTCGGGTGGCCAAGGACCTCTACCTGTACGATACCGCTTCAAATGAGTGGTCATCGCTTGCAGATGGCTCAGCAGAACGAGCCCACCATGCTGCGGTGTTCGTGGGTTGCATGAATGTCATGCTGGCAGCTTGGCAATGGCAGCGCATCAGTTTGGCATGTTGCAAGTGGGATGTATTGACTGGCACTGATGTGGAAAAGTGATAGGCAACTAATTGTAATCTCGGTTCATTCTGGAGTGATCTGAGAAATTTCGGTTCCCAAGGGTGCCAACCTTTCTTTTAACCATAGGTTTGCACATTTGGAGTGGGCAAAGGGACCGCCATGTCAACATTCCCCAGCTTGTGTCATCGCTTCATGTCGGAAGTGACGGACCTTTTTCGGCGTGTCGGAGAGCTTTTTTTTTTGTCGCACCAGGCAGCTTGGCTGTGCAATGCTGTCACCCGCAGTTTGACAAGATGTCAGCTTCCTTCGGATACTTGGGATATCCAAAGGCCTTCGAGCCTTCGGGGGCAATGTCGTAACCAGAAAGCCTCCATGCCTGGCAACTTTTTGGTTCCCTGAGGCTGGTTTGATCGTGTGAAGGATTCGGAGTTTTGAAAGGAGCAGGGCTTGCGAGCGTTGTTTACCCGAGCATCTTTTTGTGTTTAGGCTTTTGCTGGCTTCACAAGCATCGTCAGCCTTCTCATTGGGGGTTTGTGGATTAGTTTGAAGGGTAGGGCGGTACTTTCCCCCCCTTATGTAACAAGAACCAGGCATTCAACCGCCCCAAGCAACTTTGAACCACTCCAAACCACTCCCAACCACTCCTACATCAAAAAACTTTATAATAACATCATTGTTCATTGTTTCTTTTTTTTCTTCTTGAAACATATTGGTGACATTTTGTGTTAAATGTGTGTGTGTGTGTGTGGGGTGGTTGCTTTTTTTTAGGCGGTTGTGATGCAATATTGGTGAAATGGTGGGCTCTAAACGGAGTCAAGCTTTTTGGTAGGTTCAATTCCTCCTACTCTGACAGAGCTGTGAGGTACACGGAGGCTACGACGGCAGTGCCCTGAGCCATGGCCAGACTCCACTTACCTTTTTGCAGTTTTGGCCGTTCTGGATTTCCCCAAATTTCGCCACATTTGCCGTTTTTTTGGAAATACTTGATTCACTTCATTGATCCATATTGCCGTATTTTGCTTGGTCTCGCAGGTTTCGTAACAAAAACCTCCACCTGAAATTCGGACGATGCCACGGGGGATTAAGGAGCGACCTGGCCGTCTACACGGTGTCCAGAAACTCTTGGTCCACCGTGGAGACGAGCGGCACAGGCCGCTCGGAGCTCCGAGCTTCCGGCCTTTTCCCTTTCATGCGGCGCTTCCTTTCCGGGCCATTCTTCTGCCTTTCAGGCGTATATATATATACATATATATATATAATTATATATATATATATATATGTATTATATGTATATTATGTATATGGTACCCTCTCCCCCCAAAACAAAGCCCAGGTTTTGCGAGAAAATCGCTGGTCTTTGCGGTGTTTTCTCCTCAAAGCAGGAATCTGCCAGAACCTACTTTCTGCATCTCATGTCAAAACCTCTCATTTTCCAAAATTAGCCAATGCTGCAACCAAGAAACACTTACAAGAACGCTGAGCAAAACTGAAGAATAGAGAAGCATGAAAAACAACAACTGAAGAACCGTGGATTCAGCAGCGCATGGGGGCTGCTCCGCCCCCCCCGCCCCCGGCCCCAGGCATGTTCCCCGAATCTGTTAACCCTAGCCAGGAGCCTGAGCTCAGCATTCCCCTAGTCTTCCCTAGTGTTGCCCTAGTATTCCTCCAATATTCTCTTGGTATGCTCCTTGTATTCCCCTACTAGTATTCTCCGAATATGCACCTTTAATTTCCCGAGTATTCCCTGAGTATGTACCTGGTATGGCCTTGTTATTGTCCTAGTATTGCCCTAGTATTCTCTTGGTATGCCCCTAGTATTTCCTCACTACCGCTGAGTCTTCCCTTGATATTCCCTAGTAAAGGAAGTGGAATACTAGGGAAGAATCTTCAGTATTATCTAACAAACTAGGCAGCTAAGTAGATAACTGACGCATTAGCCAATTAACTAGCTAGCAAACTACTTCGCGGATATACACATGTATACTATACTATACATACATACATACATACAATACAATACAATGCATTACACTACATTACATTACATTACATGACATGACATGACATGACATGACATGACATGACATACATTACATACATTCCATACATTACATACATTACATACATTACATACATTACATACATTACATGCATTACATACATTACCTACATTACATACATTACATACATTACATACATTACATACATTACATACATTACATACATTACATACATTACATACATTACATACATACATACATACATACATACCTACCTACCTACATACATACATACATACATACATACATACATACATACATACATACATACATGCATATAGACATACGTACATCCATACATACATACATGCATGCATGCATGCATGCATGCATGCATGCGTTCCGATACACATGCCTACAAGTTTACATTTGCATTTGTCATTTTGCTTTCATATTGCATCTGCGCTTACGTTGCGCTACAGTTACGTTGCATGACATTGCATTGCCATACGTACACGTTGACATGTATATGCCTAAATAATATATATATATATATAGATATATTAACGCACACACACGCACACACACGCACACACACACACACGCACATATATATATATATATATATTATTTAACGCACACACACGCACACACACGCACACACACACACACACACGCACACGCACACACACACACACACACACACACACACACACACACACACACACACACACACACACACACACACACACACACACACACACACACACACACACACACACACACATGCATGCGCATATACTATGCCTTGCGCTGTGCACTTGTCTTACCAGCACGCACGCAACATGCATGTCGCATACATGCCTGCGCATACCTTACTATGCCTGTATGACTCCTTCATCATCTTGTTTCATATGTAACTTTCTCATGTAATAAATCCCTTATTATTTGTTGCTTGACACTCATATAAATAAACACATACTTATGTATTACATATATAAATATTGTTCCATATGTTGACGTGTTATTGACGTGACTTTCCTTATGTTTTATATGTGCTCGCACGTCGCGGCAACATGTTGTTACGCATGTTTGACTCATATGTCCATACTGTGTTGTCCCATGCATTCAATATATGACATCATATATGTTGTCCTTGTGTTGTCACATGTGTCAACGCCCCGCACGCGTGTGCATGTTTGCCAACATGTGTTGTCACATATGACGGCGCCATGCATAGCTGCGTAACGCATACGCACGCCGCGTTTGTCTACGCCCGCATCGCCGCGCGCCCGCCCGCGCGCGCCCGGCGCTTCGCGACGCCCGCGCGACGGCGCCCGCGCTCGGCGCCCGGCGCCCCGGCATCCGGCGCCCGACCGCTGAAAATCCCGGCCGGCGCCCGGCGCACGACGCCACGGCGCCCCACATCCCACGCACGCCGGCGCACCGCGCACGCACCGGCGCCGGGCACGCGCCCGGCGCCCGCGCCCGCGCCCGGCGACACGCCGACGCCCGCGCACGACGCCCGACGCCCGGCGCCCACGCCCGGCGCCGGCGCCCGCGTCCGCGCCCGACGCCCGGCGCCCGCGCCCGCACGCCCGGCGCGCGCACCCACGCATATATTAATATTATTATTATTATTATTAATATATTAATATTACACGCACGCACGACGCCGCGCCCGCCCCGCCCCCGCCGCCGCCCGCCCGCCCCGCCCCGCCCGACCCATTGGCCACGTCCCAGACGCGACATCCCGTACTTCCATACCTTCTACCTCTTCATCCACGCCCGTGTTCGTGCCTTCGTCGTTCGCCCGCCCGCTTCGCCGCCCATGTCGTCCGTCGCCCGACATCGTCGACGCTCGCCCGCCCCGCTCGGCGCCCGGCGCCGCCCTACCGGGCGTGCGTCGCTCCCGCGCTGCCGCCGCCCGCGTCCATCGCTCCGCGTGGCCCGTCGTCGTCGCTCGTCGCTCGCCGCACAAGCGCACGCGTCGCACGTACGTCGCGCGGCCAGCCATGTCGTAGTAACGTGTCGTAATCGTCGTCTGTCGTGTCGTCGCGTCGTCGTCGTACGCGTCGGCGCACGTCGCAGCTCGTACGTGCATGTTGTCGTGTTCGATCGTCGTTGACGCAAGGTACGTCGCATGCGCGACGCAACACGCGCGCGCGTCACGCACGCCAACGCAACGCGACAACGCACGCACATGTGTGTGTGCGTCGTTGCCATGCGTGTGTGCATGTGTGTGTGTGTGCTTGTGCGCTGCCTGCCTGCTGTGAAGGATCTAGAGAAACGTGCGCAACACGCGTACACACACGCACACGCACATATACACACACGCGCATACACATATATATACACACGCATATATATTATACATACATACACACATTATACATTTATACATACACATACACACACATATTATTACATATTATATATATATATTATATACATATATATATACATATTATATACATATATATACATATTACACATACACATATATATACACAGGTTACACGTTATATATTACACATTTACACACACACATATTACACACACACACACACACACACACACACACACACACACACACACACACACACACACACACACACACACACACACACACACACACACACACACACACACACACACACATACACACACACACACACACACACACACACACACACACACACACACACACACACACACACACACACACACACACACACACACACACACACACACACACACACACACACACACACACACACACACACACACACACACACACACACACACACACACACACACACACACACACACACACACACACACACACACACACACACACACACACACACACACACACACACACACACACACACACACACACACACACACACACACACACACACACACACACACACACACACACACACACACACACACACACACACACACACACACTTGAGGACAAAGACAGGTATTCAAACTCTTTTTCTGAGGACAAACTCTTTTGCGTGTGGGTTGGGCGCGGCCGTTTCCCCGATCAGGGTTTGAGTGGCAACTGACACGGGTTGTGGCGCGTATTTGTTAAGAAATTCTCATGCAACGCAACCGAACTTTGGATCCACCGAGCAGGCGGTCCAAACAAAGTGATGCTTGCAAGTTTGTCCGCCATGTCTGAAAAAGCCACGAGGAAAAACACATTCTTCTCCCTCAAGTGTAAATATATGTATGTATATATATATATATATGTATACATGAACATGTATACAGGAAAATGTTCTACATGCTGTAGCTGTGCATACATCGTTTTCATTTTTGGGACTGGCAGATGTATCCTTTGCTGCACAGGCCCATCTGCCAGGTTCGGCCACGCTGCTGCTACCTGGCCTGCAGTGGGAAAGCCACAGCTGAGCTTTTGTTTCGTGCTGGTTGGTTGGTGCCCTAGGGGAAAGAAAAAACACGGGACCCGCCCCTGGTTGATTTGACGAACAGGGGAGGTGTCGCGTTTAGAGGAAATCCTGCACTTGGGGCTTCAGGGCATCCCTATTGGTCAGGGTTCATTGATCAGGGGTCGACGGCATGGTCCCAACCAGTGTGGGTTTTGTTGGATGCAGCCCTCAGCGTTCCCAGTTTAAGGTGGAGTCCCGCTCCCCCACTCGCCCTCTTTTTGCGATGGGAAACTGAAGGGCGATCCCAATGGAGAGCCCTTTCCCACGCCCCGGGATGCACTTTGCCAAAGGCATGCGGGTCGCAGCTGCAAGAGTGCATTTTGCGATCATAGCCACAAAGTTTCGACCCGAGAAGAGGCAGTCCCAGGCACAAAGGGGTGCCATGTTTGTTTTTTTCTTTCCGGTAGGCCACTAGAGAAACCCCGGGCGCTTTCTTGGGGCTGTCAGGTTTGGGACAGCTCCAGGGAGAACTTGCTGGTCACCGGAGGCACCAGCGCCACGGAGATCTTCTCGGACACCTTCCGGATGACCACGAGCCACTGCACCACCACCACGACCTCCTCCTTCGCCGCTGGGAAGGAATTTTACATAGTTTTTTTTTGGTGGACATCAATTTTTCGGTGGGGATTTTTATGTCCACCACCCACTTTGGAGGTGATTCCCTATTGAATTCGTGGCCTGGGCTGCGTTCTGGTTGAAGTCTCACCGGTCAATGGCCCAGGTTTGCTTTTTCTTGTGGAGTTGCTTGCTTTTCGGATCTTAAGCCACAATGAATAGCTTTAAGATTTTGGACATCACTGCGTCTTTTAGCAAGCAGCAAGAAGTCAATCTTCCCGTGAAGCGGACAACTGCCGCAGAGGTAAGCACCACCACCTTCACGGCCACCGAAACGACCACGTCCAAGACATTAACCTCATCAACGATCTCCAGCTCGTCCTCTAGCCAAACGAGTACCACAACAGCCTCCTCCATTACGACGTCAACAAGCGCCTCATCAACCACAGCAACCACTACTTTCACTGTCTCCACAAGCTTGACAATCACCACGACATCATCTGGGACTTCTACGCTGAGCAGCACAATGACAACTTCAAGCACATCACTTTCCTCAACAAGATCCACTTCAAGAAGTGACACCACCACCACCACCGCCACCGCCACTGCCACCACCACCACCGCCACCGCCACCACCATCACCGCCACCACCACCACCACCGCCACCACCACCACCACCATCACCACCACCGCCACCACCACCACCGCCACCCCCACCGCCACCACCACCACCGCCACCACCACAACCACCACCACCACAACCACCACCGCCACCGCCACCACCGCCACCACCACTGCCACCACCACCACAACCACCACCAAGTCTGCCTCAAGTTCATCCACAAGTGCCAGCGCCACGTCCTCAACGTCAAGAACTTCGGTCACGGTGACAGCCAGCAGTCGCACAGAATCAACGACCAGTTCCACAACGGCTTCTTCCAGTGTGAGCTCGACAAGAACCAACACAGCTACCGCTACAGATGTCGCGATGCCTGGCAGCACAAGCACTGCGTCAAGTGCAACGACTACCACCTCAGCCAGCACGTCTCAGGCTATTTCTGTGACTAGCAGCACAGCAGCAACTAGCCTCGCAAACAGCGTGACCAGTTCCCTCAGCACTTTGACCACCACCTCGGGCACTTCGACTTCCACTCTGATCAGCACCTTGACCACTTCCTTCGCGACTGCGAGCTCCACAAACCCGCCTCCCTTGGTTGATGCCGTTGCCGCGCGCCGGGAGGAGGGCCACCGAAGTGGGCTTTCTGTCTTGTTGTCGGTGAATTTGGCGCAAGAATGACAGCCCCCAGATTTGAAGAAAGAGGCCAAGCACAACCCCGGAGAAGGGGCTGGTGCTTGCCACTCCCAAATGACTCCCGAAGCCCTGAATTGGAGGCTAGGATGCTGGCCTGGGATCTGATTTTTTCCGGTTCTCTATCCACAGCAATCAACAAGAAGCACCTTCCCACAGCAAAGTGGCTGTACATCCGCTGTATATCCAATTAAGCTTCTTGGGTAGTGGTTCTGGGTGGAAACCCTTAGAAAAGAGAACCAATCCAAGCCGCCAATTGTATGGATACCCTGAGTCCTGGAATGGTGACGTCATGGTGTTGTGATCCCCTCAAAGCCGGCACCCCCTGAAATGGCGAACCCAAAACCCTAGGGTTCATGACCAGCCCCAGCCCAAACACAGGGGTGTCGTTTTGCAACACAGCACGCACGTTTGGAAGTGGCTCCTTTGAGAGCTTGCGTCGGCTGACGGAACTGGCAATTACCAGACCAATCTTGGAGGTCAGCCAGAATTGGTCTTCACAAAGGGGCACAATGAATCCGAGCCTCACTGGTCAAAGGAATGCATTTTGGAGTGTATCCCGGTAGTGCTTTGGGGTAGTGAACACCACTGTGGGGCCAACCCCTTGTTTGCACCTGTGTACCTGTCTCAACATGCACCTTTTTGTTTCCCAGAAGCGGCCACGGAATGGTTCTTGAACACATTTTGCCACACCCAACCCCAGGATAAAATATAAACCACTGTACAAGAAAACTCCGTTTTGTTTCCCTTCAGGGGGTTTTGAGCAACAGCACAAATGCGGAACTCCTTGCCTTTCGTTTCCTGTCAAACCATGGCAGAGCCCCTTACAGGTATCAGAGGTTGATTGTTTCAGCAAATTTTCTCAGCCCAGGTTGTTGACCATTTGGATTGGTTCCTTCAGTTACCAGGGACCCCCTCAATTTTGGCTCTAAACTGGATAGCTTGACAAATTGCCATCCCTACAAAAACAGTCGTACTCACGTACTCCCCCTGCCAAACCACCAATCCAAACCACCCAGTTCACTGGGCAACCTCCAAATCACCCACACTGAAAGCTAAGATGGGACCCAACTGGGTATGGTTCAAAACTAAACCACCAAAGGCAGCTGGTTTCAGTCCATGCGTCCATGTGCCGGGGTTTCGTTTTGGCTACCTATTTTTGACCCACAGCCAGCTCACTTTCCACGCCCCAAACCATTTCGGTCAGGAGGCCGCCGCCGCGAGCGCTGCGGTGGAGGCGGCAGAGGAGCGCGCGGTGCTGCAGCTGCTGGCGGCGCTGGCGCCGGCGCCCGGGGCGCCGCCGGGGGTGCTGGGCTCGGCGAAGGTGGAGACGGAGGCGGAACCGTTCTGCCGAAAACGGGTTTTGGCCATGGCTTCGTGGGTTTAACATAATCAACCCCCAGTTTTCGTTTAGGGGGGTGTAATCAACCCCAGTTTTGGTTTAGGGGGGGTGTCTCTAGTGGTTTTCGTGCAGAATCATATTTTTGAGGGCTGTTGCCCCCTATGAATAAATTGGGGGTTGAGTATATGGGGTTAACAGTAGTGAGGCCATAAACCTCAGCATAGCGCCAAAGGTCGATGGGGCTTTGCTTTGCCGTAGCTTCATGAGGTTACCGAGGCCACAATGATATACCTGAACGTAGAACCAACAGTCCTTGGGTGTTATACGATATTCGTGTGAGGTTCGGTCAATATGTTGCGTCAAGAGGTTTTGGGAGCGACATGGAGAGGTGGGCTTTGCACCGGCATGCCATTGGTTTATCCCGATTTAGACATAATCCCAGCAAGCTTGCTGAATTTTCCAGAAAGGAAACCAACTCCTGGGTTTAAGTCTAGTGGGAAGTCAAAACATTGAACCCTTCCCTTTGGTAGAAAAGGCGATGGCAATATAACGGAACCTGTTTCGACCACCTTTGAGGAACGATACTTGGGTACCCCCAACGTCCAACCCGGCAACCCAAAATACCAAACGAATAGAAGCAAGATTCGACGCAGTTGTAGTCGGGAGAGCGGTGTGCGAGGCTTGGTACCTTCTTTAGGACGGTTGAAAGGGACACCTAAACGACATCCACTCTTCTTTTTTTTGGGGGGGTCGCCCCTTTTGACCCATATTCATTTGTTCAATTTACCCTGTAGTAATAGAAAACGGGTTCACCTCCATTTGTAAGAAAGCGGATCTCTCCAAAGCTGAACACGTGAAAACACAATTCGCTCAAATGTGGAAGGGTACTGTTTTTTGGGTGGTGAAGGGAGCACGACACCATTTACCTCCCTTGTGTGGAGAGCCACCTATCGGAGAGCTGAGTTGAGCTTTCTTTTGGTTGAATTCCTTCCTCCTAACCTGGCTGGGTCTTTGGCGTAGCCTTAGCCCCCTAGCGGTTTCATTAAACCTATGAAAGGTCAAAGGACCTTTTGCTTGGAGCAACCTCCAAACTGCCACTCCAAACCCACGAACCACTCCAAACCGACAAACCAAATGCAAGCCAAGCAGAGTTTCGCTCCCAATCGACAGGTCGGAACTGTGGAGGTCACCGCCTTCTCTGCAGACGCCGCGGCTGCTGCTGGTGGAACCGTGCCGGTGACGGGCAGCGGCGGCGTTGCGGTGGACGTGCCGTCTCAGGTCCTGGGGCAGGCTCCGAACCAAATGGGCCGAGTTGGGTTGTTGCCCTTCGGCTTATTTTGAACATCCAAAAATGATACTCAAAATAACATAGCCTGGGTATCTGTGTGTGTGTGATCGCCTTGGTTTGGGGAACGGCGAAAGGAAAAGAGAGAGAACCACATGTTTGTTGGGCAACTGTATTTTGTCACGTTCCCAAAATGGGTGGTCTCACTTGACATTCGCTTTGACCCCAACTTGAAAGACCATCAATAAGAGACCAACACAGGCGGCGTAGTTTCCTCCAAATGAGGGTCATCTTTGGAGTTGGTACCCTGTTTTGGAGCGCTCAAAGGGAAGCCAACAGGAAACCAAGAGGCAGACCCAAGGACGTCGACCAAAATAACCGCAACAGCATCGAAGACCTCGTAGATGCCGCCAACGACACCCCCATTGACAATTCCCAACAGCATCCACAAGCACGTCCCCAGCAACATCCACAAACACAGCACCCAAGACAGCCGGAAGACAACCCCGACAGACACCCCCAACAGATACAAAGTCGGCATCCTCCAAAAGACATCCCCCAAAGACATCACTAAAACACCGTCGGAAGACAAAACACATCCTCAAATGACATCACCCAAGAGAGCGCAAAGACATCCTCAAAGACATCCAGACAGGCTCAAAGTTGGGGATACGTCTTTGCGTTGGTTGTCTTGGGGGACATTCTCCGAGCGTGACTTTAGGGTTGGCTGATAATTTTGTTGGTCTCTCTCGGGACGTCTTTGTGGCTGTCGTGTGGGGGATGTCCTTGGGGGATGTCTTTGTCGTTGGGGCGGAAGATGTCTTGGGGCTGTCTCAGAAAATATCGGTTGGTTGGGAGAAATCTTTGGAGCTGACTTTGAGGTTATGTTGGGACGCTTGCGGGGATGTCTTTGGATATGCTTTTGAACATGTCTTTGGGCTAAGAATTCCTGGAATGATTCGATTCCCCTGTAAATACCACTAAACAATGGTTTCCCATGGTTTCCAAGTTATGCAGAATATCGTCCATCCAAATGAAAGGCAACCCCCTCACAAGTATATTTGGGGGATGTCGATCTGGGAGCCAGCCTCAATTCTCACCCCTTTATTGTGGGAGGATGATAGAACGGGCAAAAAACAGAGACCGAAATCGACCAAAAGGTTTTCCGCTTTCGGGCAAACCAGCGATTTCCAGAAGGCCTATTTGCAAGGGATGCATTTCAATGCAGGAGTTGATGGACAAAAAAGGAAAAGCCCGTTGGGTGAGAGTAGACAAATCACAACCTCCGTATTTTGGAGAGAACATTTCATGAACGGAGTTCCTATTTTCACTCGGGTGTAAAACCTTGGTCAGGCGGCCTCCATAGGCGGAGCGGGCCCGGTGCTCTTGAGTTTTACCTCCATGTGCCTCGGCCGGAAGCCGGATGCCTTTTTCACTTTTTGAATCCTTGGCGGAATTTCCGACTTTCCCCTGAAGCGGCAACACGTCAAGTTTTCAAACCTTTCACTCTTTTGTATCCGTTTGGCACTTGGTGTTCCGCCATATTCCCTTACCACCGCCAAGCCCCTCAGCCTCCTGCCTCCCGCACCTCCTTTCCCAGCCGCATCTTCCATTTCAATGAATTTTCGGTTTTGTTCCCGACCCGTTTCCACCCGGTTTTTCCCACTCGGTTTTTCCCACCCGTTTTTTCCCACCCGTTTTTTCCCACCCGTTTTTTCCCACCCGTTTTTTACCACCCGTTTTTTCCCACCCGGTTTTTCCCACCCGTTTTTTCCCACCCGGTTTTTCCCACCCGTTTTTTCCCACCCGTTTTTTCCCACCCGTTTTTTCCCACCCGTTTTTTCCCACCCGTTTTTTCCCACCCGGTTTTTCCCACCCGTTTTTTCCCACCCGTTTGTTCCCACCCGTTTTTTCCCACCCGTTTTTTCCCACCCGGTTTTTCCCACCCGTTTTTTCCCACCCGTTTTTTCCCACCCGTTTTTTCCCACCCGGTTTTTCCCACCCGTTTTTTCCCACCCGTTTTTTCCCACCCGTTTTTTCCCACCCGTTTGTTCCCACCCGTTTTTTCCCACCCGTTTTTTCCCACCCGTTTGTTCCCACCCGTCTTTTCCCACCCGTCTTTTCCCACCCGTTTGTTCCCACCCGTCTTTTCCCACCCGTCTTTTCCCACCCGTTTGTTCCCACCCGTTTTTTCCCACCCGTTTTTTCCCACCCGTTTTTTCCCACCCGTTTTTTCCCACCCGTTTGTTCCCACCCGGTTTTTCCCACCCGTTTTTTCCCACCCGTTTGTTCCCACCCGTTTTTTCCCACCCGTTTTTTCCCACCCGTTTGTTCCCACCCGTTTTTTCCCACCCGTTTTTTCCCACCCGTTTTTTCCCACCCGTTTTTTCCCACCCGTTTTTTCCCACCCGTTTTTTCCCACCCGTTTTTTCCCACCCGTTTTTTCCCACCCATTTTTTCCCACCCGTTTCCACCCCGAGATCTGACTGGCCCAGGTCCAAAGTCGCCTCCAAGTTCCAGGCTTCGGCGCCGAACGCGCCGTCGCCCTCGGGCGCGTCGACTGGGCGGCGGCTGAACGCGCTGCAGTCGGTGCCGCTGAGCATCAACCTCCGCGGGGCGGATGGGAAGAAGCTGGACATGAGCCGAACCTCGGTGGACACGTCTTAGCCTCCAGCCGCGGAATTTTTCCCCGTATTTTTTTTCCTTGCCGCAAGAGCAACAGCGAGCTTGCAATGCCTGAGCTTTGCGGTGCCCTTTGGGTTAGTTTTGATTCAACTGGTTCAACCGGGAGGCGGTCAAATTCTTCATTTTCCCGTGGCAAGACATTGACTTGAGCTCTTGGGCAAGGACTCAGCTCGCCCATGGTCCTGTCGGTGGAGTCCTTCGACCCCAATGCCACCTGCGCATATTGGGATGAGGATCAAGGTATCATGTTTGAATGAGTCAGTGTGCAGCACGCCCCGCGAGTTCCGGTCAACTTTGTATTCCGATCGTGTTTCCTTCTTTTCCGGCCCTCATTTTTTTTCTCGCGCAAGGCGTGTTCCTTGAGAATCCCTCGCCTGGCCAAGGCATGTGGTCCCAAAGCGGCGTGGAAAAGGTGGGCTACGAGCAGGGGAAGCTCATGTGCCGCACCGAGCACCTGTCCATTTTCGGGGCTTTGATGGAATCCATCTTTAAGGCGCGGAAAGGGGGGGACTTTGGACCATAAGTGTGGCAAAGGGCAAAAAGGCAACCCTCCATGGGGAGCACCCTCAAGAATGGTTGGTGGCCATACCGTTCCCCATGGAAATGATGCCCAATGCCCGGTTGGCGGACGCTAGGACGTGGCAGCCGTGCTGAAATGTTCCACTGCCTGGCAGCTGGTCTCCGTCGAGGGGATCAAGAAGATCGGCGAGCCTGGGTGGGGCGGTTCCCAAATCAGCATGGGTCAAGCTCCAAATCGTACCCCCAGTGAACATCCCAATCCCGACTATAGACTAAAATGGGTGGTGGCACCTACCCCAAAATGGCACCATTGGCTTTGACTCACAGCCCCACAGCCAAATCAGCATGTTTGCTTCTCTTTGGGTTTCCTTATAGAACAATTTGCTTTGACAACCAATCACCAACTCCTCTAGGACCAATTTTCCGTTGTTTGCCAGCGGGGGCAAAATCTGGTCTAAACAGGTGGACCCGCCCGTAAACAAGGAATGCCTGCAAAGCCCCGATCAAACCATCTTGTTCACCCATTCCTTCTGAGTTTTCTCCACTCCTGCTGAACGTTTAACAACTAACAACGACTCAACAAGCCACCAAGTGCTGGTTAGGGACCTTGTTGCTCCTCTTTTCCTCAAAAAATCCGATGTCCATAGGTGTCCTTTTTGGTTGTTTTGCTCGAAAAACAGATGGCGATTCCTGGTTTACCTAGGTGGTTTCACCAGGGCCATCTATGTCCCCTAAAAGGACACCTATGCCAATGTCCTTTTGTTTTTGTGCTGGTTAGGCACCCGGCTCCTCTCTCTTTTCCTCAAAAAACCCGAGGTCTTTTTTTTTCTTCCCCGGACGGGTGCGTTTTCTTCTTTCCAGGTGGACGGGATATCCCCCCAGCATCGTCACCTTCTGCTTCCTGGGGGGCTTTCTGCTGGCCGGGAGCTGCGCCTTCCGCTTGGACCGCCGGGCGGAGGAGGCCATTCCCTGGCTGGAGAGGGAGGCCGAGGGGGGAAGGTGGGATGGACCAAGTTTCGTGCTTTGCTTCCATTTGCTGAAATGAATATATATATATATATATATATATATATATTTAAACATTCCCTTAGTTTTGAAAGGAATTTATCACTAATGGACATATTTTATTTTTTGCTGTGCATGTTGGTGTAAACCGTTTGGTTCAAGCGCAGGCCTAAAGTTCAATAGTTCAAACACCCAGTAGTTGCCCTAAATGGACATCTTGCTTGGGAAATTTAATTGGAACCCCACAAAAATGGTTCAAGGACCCCTGTCGACAGAGCACCTGTCCCCCCTCTAAGTGTCTAAGTTTTTCTTGCCATGGTCTGGGAGACAACCTTCTCTGGACCCGGAAAGGAAAAACCAGGGCCCCTGCTTCAGTTCTGGCAGCAGAGTGCTCCTTTT